CGTCTCCGTCATCGCATCCTCTTTCTCTCCAACACGCGTTCCTCACAGATGTCAACGACGTCAAGACGATGGAGCGCAACTTGCTCAAGTTGCTCGACGATTTTCATTCGGGCAAACTGCTCGCCTTCGGTGAGTCGCAGAAGGCAAACGTTTATTTTTTTAGTGCCACTGAATTTTTTGGTGTCCTGGCGCATTTTGTGGCACTGACTTGAGGCGGTATTGTAAGAGAGGGAGATTTAGTTGCGGGTTTTTATTGTAGGCGAGGTGTGCTTTTTCGCGGAATTGTTGGGCCACTCCGTCTGTTTTGTAAGACAGTAAGCCATACGAAATAATTGGAAGCTGAAATGTTCTGTTTTTAAATTTTTATATTGCATTTACAATTATTATGAATCGGGATTGACTATTCGCAGGGTGTGGGTTTCGATCGATTTGTGTTGTTGATGTTGGTTGAAAAATAACCGTTGGATTCATGTGCGCAGGTCAAAACGACAACATTTCAAGAATGGAGACGATCCGGAAGCAGCAAGAGCAGTTGGCACGATTGCATTTCGACGTCGGCGCCGAGCTGTCCAACGATGCCAAAGACTCGGCGGCTGCTGGCCTTCTCAGTCAGCAGCGCCTGGAGAAGTCCAAGCAGAACATGCAAAAATTCACTGACTCGCTCAAGCAACTGAGCATCAGTATTGAAGGACTGAATTCGAAAAAGGAAGCTGAAGAATCGGCCAAGTCCGACGCTACGTAGCTCCAAAAAATAAAAAATAAAGAAAAATCGACACTTCCTCCATCTTTTCGTCTCTCTCTTCGCGATTGCTTTAAAAAGGCCCACCGAATCGGGAGACTGCTTGCTGTGTCCCACACGTGGTTTTTTGAATGGATGCTCAAAATATTGTATGCTGCATTCGTTGCTCTCTTTTTTTTTGGGTTGTTGATTTAAATTTGTGATACAAGACTGGGGGTGTTGGGAAGGGGGTCAATGTTTCGCTCTCCCGTAAAATGTTTGCTCCTCGGAAAAAAGGAAAACGTCACGTCATCATATATGTGTGTGTGCTCCGTTTAGGCTNATCAGTGGATCCCGGGATGAAAGTTCACGTTGAAGAGACGATGGAAAGTCGGTGTTCTCGAGTTGGTGCCGGACTGTGAATTTCGGCGTATTCTTCAAGTGCGTGGTGATTTCTCTGGAACGTGAGGGATGTCGACAAAAGAAATGACACTGTTTCCTCGAATACGGATACCGGTGATACTCAAGAACCTTTTTTTTTTTTGCTTCTTCCACAGAAAATTTCCCGTGTGCTTGTTGGTCTTCGAAATTTTTTCAGGATTAGTATTTGATGTACGGTCGATGAATTATGGACGATTGAGAGAAGGTGTTTCTGAGAATTCGTGAACTCAACTCCAACTCTCGAATTTGATGATTTTCTTTACTTCGGGTCTGAATTCATTTTTTTTTCGATAGTGAGTTGCTCGGAAGGTTATGAAAATGAAGGTATATTAAATCACTTCTGAAAAATCGATAGTTTTCTGGCATTTTTTCAGTCGTTGAAATTTTGCATTCTACGAGGAATTTTTTTACATTTTGAGCAGCTGAAAAGGTTCATTTATGGTTTGAGATTTGAATGTTAAAAGTCCATGTTCATCCAAACTTGGATTTTCTTGGAATTTTTTTTAGAAAGCGGTAAAAATTGGAAATTCTCTGAATTGTGTTCGCTCTGTCGAAAATGTTCGTCGAGAAGATGTTGACCGGGATTTCATTTTCTGTAAAAATGTAGTCCTCTTCTCTGTTGTCAAAAGTGCATTTTGCGTTGCGTCTTTCTCAATTTTTTAATCGAGAATGTTATTTGCAATTGTTTTTTACTATTTTTGATGCCATGTTGCCAATGAAATGTGAAGTGGTGAGTTGGCGTGATTCCGAGACGCAATTTTCGGTTTTTCTCCGTAAATAAGATTGGTCCTTTATTATCGCCCCAATACTGATGGACTATTTTTGGATAGTTTTCATTTTCAAATTCACAAAAACATATCATCCACTATTCAAGTCTGAGAATTCTCAAAGATGTCTTGGGAATCTTTTAAACTGAAGCGAAGTACTGTACTGACAAAAGGCAAGAGTGGGAAGATTGAGAAAATAAATGAGAATTTTTTGAATGCAGTACTGTATTAAGTAATGAGAAAGATTAAAATATGGGCTAAAGAGGAAGATTTACATTCTGATAGGATTATTTACTAGCTAAGGGCCTTGATAAGATGAGTAGCGTCTGGTAATTGCGTGAAGTAATTTATTGTTGAGGGTTTTTTATGTTTTGTTTGCCGATGACGAGATCTTCTTTTTGGAGAAATACAATATAGTTCATGTCACTATTGTTGACATAATTCAGGTGCCCCATGGCCAAGTTCAACAAATGCCGGAATTGTCAGTTTGAGCTCGAGATTCAGATTCGTTTGATCTATTGTTTAGAATATGTACGAATGTATTTTTTTCTGATTCTCGGAAATAGTATTACACTCTTTGCGAAATTTCTCCAAATTTTGAAAAAGGAGATACCGTATTTGAATTTTTGAGCAACCGTTGAAAGCTTTATTTTTCGCATGTCAGGGTGTGTTTTGATTGAATGACAGTTGAAAAAAAAAGAGGATCGATCCCACATTTTGTGGCTCAGTTTCCTCGTACTTGTCTTTCATTTTTAGGGTTCAAAATAAGAATATTTTTCGGAAAAACGATGGGCGCCGACTTTCTTCCCGGTACAATATTCATTCAATTGAAAAGCAGAATAACAGAGGGAATCTATATTGACGATATTTTTAGAGCACTTCACTACTTTTCGAAGGGCAGACAAATGATTTCATCTTTCCTAAATCCCCCTCTCGTAAGACGAAAAAAATAATTTTCCACGTCATTGAGCAGAGAAAATTTCCGAGAAGCCAGATGCTGTTCTGCAAGCAAAATTTTAAAAATACTGGACAGAGGGATCTACAGTATATTTATCGATGGATTTTCACACCTTATTCATTATTTTGAATTTATTTTCTCATGTGAGGGTTCAAGTTTCCTAGTGTGAATTCGTTTTCACATCTGATGGATCAGTTTTCCGGCCAAAATTTCAGCATCCGTTTCCTCCGGTTTGAAATTTCTGCACATGTCGAAATTCTGCTTTTCACGCGGTTCAATTGTGGCTTGGGGAAAAAAACGAGAAAATTGCTTCCTTGTGCGGAAACATGGAATTAAGTTGCTTGAAATCATCATTGCGTGTTGGATGTGGCTTTTTTGTGATTTTTATTCTGTTTGCTGAAGTGGAAAAATTGCTGAATATTTTAAAGAGTGATGATTTAGAATGAAATAATGCTATATTAACTCATTCCCGTGCCGTATTTCGAACTGCTGGAGAATACAGTATTTAATGTACTGTATTTTCTTTTGAAAATACTGTGCAATCAAGCCCTGATGATTCGCCATTGTTTGTTCAAAAATGAATTTGGCACTTTATTGTGCAGTTCAATTTTTAAAATCTTTCCGTATAATTACCCGTATTTACTCCAGTACCACGCGCACCTTTTTTCAGGAAATAGAGGCAGGGATAAAATGTTTCAGTAAAATTTTTTGAAAACCCTGAGCCTTGTCTGTGGGTACATTAAAAAAAACTTGAGAGGATATGCTTGGTGCTATGTCTCATTGTTTATGGGAAATAATGGTTGAAGGGATAGCAATTTCAGGAATCAGTTAAAGATGCAACAGAAACCAGAAGATATTCCTGTAATTGA